AGGATAGGACTTACCTTTCCCTCCATGGGTAGGGAGGGATCTGTGCTGGGCTGTGTTCCTACATGCAGGAGTATCTAACACAGGCAGGTGTCTCTAACAACCCCGTCCCTGAGGCAGACCATGCAGGACAGAACAGATGGCCCAGGTAGAACTGAAATGTTGTTATGATTTGGTTTTGCACACTGTGGTGACAGGTTCATTAGAAATACATTGTTGATTAGCATGGACAGAATTGCTGGAGTTGTAATACATTTTGGTATTTAATGTTTGCAGTATTTTGAAAGAGAGGTGGTAGGACTCTTGACTCCCTGTCAAAAGCAAGACGCCCTTCTCCTGCAGAGGGCCTGGTGCAGGTGATGGGTGCACAGCCCAGCACCAACTCTGCTGCCAGGGAGAACTTGGCAAAGGTTGCAGTTTGATGATATGCTAGGACCTCAACTGCATGACTTGACTGCCATGTTGCTGTCCTATGATAAAATGAGTTCACAGTGGGCTCATGGATAAGGTCATGACAGGGAGACAACATGCTGCCTGCCACCTTGCAGAGACAGCAGAGCTGGCACGGGAGCTACCAGTCTCTGCTGGTAGGTAGGTTAGCTCTGAAACCTAACAATGTCTCACCAATGCTAGCTCTGGTGGCTGCTGTATTTCAGAGCAGGCACGAAGTGGTGATCCGGTGAGTGGTGGAGGTGAGAGTTTGCAGGAGCCGGGTGGTGCCACTGCCCGTACTTATGCGGTGGCAGGGGCCGGGGCTGGGGCCGACTGGTGGACAGGGTGGTCGAAGCGTGTTCCCTCAAGGTATCCTCTTTGCCCCACAGCTACATAGCAGAGCGGGGCGGCTTCCAGGTCTGCCCCTTCTTCCTGGGCCACGGCATTGGGTCGTACTTCCACGGGCACCCCGAGGTGTGGCACCACGGTAAGCGGCCCCGGCTCCCCCGCGCGGCCTCCGCGGGAGGGGGGCAAAGCGGGCAGAGCCCTCCACAGCCCCGCGCACTGCCGGTCCCGGCTGGCGGGCGGAGCCCGCGCTTCTTTT